TTCATGGTTGGCTCTCTTGGTGTGCTCTCCGCTTCCGCCGCCAAGTCCACCCTCACCGGTTTCCTGGAAACAATGGCCGCCTCGGCTGATGTCCTGGCCATGGCCAAAACTGAAGTTGATCTTGCGAGCATTCCAGAGGGCAAGAATGTCGTTATCAAATGGCGAGGGAAGCCTGTTTTTATCCGACACAGAACCTCGGATGAAATTGAAGAAGCTCAGAGCGTTAACTGGAAGAGTCTGAGAGACCCTCAACCAGACGAAGCGCGAGTTAAAAAACCGGAGTGGTTGGTCATGCTTGGTGTTTGCACTCATCTCGGTTGCGTCCCGATTGGCGAGGCAGGTGACTATGGAGGATGGTTCTGCCCATGCCATGGCTCGCATTATGATATCTGTAAGTGTTACTTTTGGAATCAGATTGTGTCTAGATCTGATGTTTCAATCTGCAGCCGGTCGCGCGCGTAAGGGACCTGCCCCTGTAAGCCCATTTGGCTACAAGGTATCCTTGATCTGACCTCTTCTATCTAGCTTAACCTAGAAATTCCTCCCTACGAGCTGAATGAAGCCGATAACAAGCTTGTTATCGGATAACATTCCATACTACTACATTGATATATAGTCCCATGTACATGGGTAATATTATCAGATGGCTATCATAAACCTCAAAACGAAAATAAGCTCAAACGAACTGAAAGAAATGCGAAGTCGCGTTCGGTAAGGGTACGCGAGGGTATATGTAATAGTATACTGCTCCACTTATGATAGCAAACCGGGACGCTGTGAGTACGACAAAAGTGACCCACGCCTACCAAAGAAACGTGCAATTCCGCCTGTCTTGCTATCCTTCGCGGGCAATTCGTCGCCCTTGAGAACATTGCGAGACGCGCTGCGAGCAATCCTGTCCCATACGCTCGGCGAAGTGGCAGGTAGCGCTGCACTTGGCATCTCCGTGTGAGGCGAGGTTGAAACAAGAGATATTGACATGGAACGCAGGCGCCGACGAATTGGAATTGGGGCGGAAGTGGAGACACGCTGGTCTTCCAACGGGATGGTCGGCTCTTGTTCCAATTCCTGCAACTGCGAGGATTTAGATCGCGAAGATTCTGAAGATGCGCTGGGGGAAGACGAAAGGGGTAGAAGTAGTGATCCTAGTATATCTGGTTCCGTCTCATCTTTTAAATCCATAGTCTCCAGCAGCAGATGGCTGGCAGTTGGTGGACTGTCTGTGGCTATAGCGACACGTGGATTAGAAAAGTGTTCCTCTTGTATATCTTCAGGCGCCACCAGGTCAATTTGTGGGTGAAGATCTTTGCGTGACAGCGCGGAACGTTGGAAGGAGTCCACTTCGAAACTTCCCCTAAAGCTGGGGGGTGGCGAGAAGTTCCTTGCACCCTGAGGTACTCTTGAATTGATCGTCCCGCGTATAGATGGGGCAATGGACCCGATTACGGACGAGCTGAAATCCCACGAATCCACCGTACCTTGGCTCGTGAGGCTCGGTGGATATTTGCGCCGTTCCTGGCGAACTGCGAGAGGTGGAAGATCAGCTAAGATCGTCCCTATAAGGTATGACTTCTTCTTCGCGCTTCTGAAGAATGGTGTCTGCAGGAGCTGTGCAGCTGTCGGTCTGACAAAGTCTTGGCATGACGACGTCATGTGGCTGCATAACACTCACCGCTTGGCAGGGTCCTTTGTAAGGCAGGCATCAACGATGTCTTTGAAAGCTTGAGAGTATCGATGAACGCCACTATCTCGGTCCAAGGTAGGTGGCTTCCCTTGGACACTGCATTGCAAGCAGAATAAATATTAATTGGAAATATGACAAAAAAAAACTCGCACATCTGCAACAAAACAGAATGAGGGCTTTCACGTGATCTTGGAGGCCGCCCCTGCGTCAACTCGATACAGGTTATGCCAAACGACCATATGTCGGCTTTTGCGTCGTATCGCTTTCCTTCGATAAGTTCCGGGGCCATCCAGCACGGCTGTGGCGCCGTCAGAACATGAAACGCGAAGGTGGTATCATGCGCACCGTCCCGACAAAGGATTTCCGCTTCCCCACTTGAGGGCGTGTACGCCCTGTAACTGAGCTCCGTTGTGCTTGAACACGATCAGAGTTCGTCGTCTCCTCCTCATGATTTAGAGTGGGCCGGCAAGAGAAGTCTGCGTCTTCGGTAAGAGATGCTGCTACGCCTAGATCACCCAAGAGAACAGTGCCATCGTCGTCGATTAATAGGTTAGCTGCCTTGATATCGCGATGAATGAAGCCGTTCACGTGCAAGTAACTTGAGGAATGACAGATGAGATTCCACAAAAGCACGAAATGCCGTGTGCATACTTAAGGCCTTCAAGAGCTTGCTTGAGGATACACTTGATCACTTCCTCTTCCATGCCACCTGGCCAGCCATAACGCATGATGTCCGCAGCACTCCCTTTGTTCATGAGGCGAAGGGCAATGTATAATTTGTGGCCATCTATCCACGAACCACGAACACGTAGGACGTTCGGATGTTTCGAGAGGGACATAAGTTGAGTTTCGCGCTGCAGCAAAGACAGAGATCGAGGAGGGAGGACATCGAGGTCAAGAACCTTGAGAGCACATTGGATCGAGGGTTGCGGAGGAAAGGGATGGCAGACAGCGTCGTAAACAATAGAGGACGCTCCGAAACCTATGGGTGCGCCAACGGTATAATCACGAGGGCAGTCACTAAAGCACTTGAAGTAAGGTTGACGCCTCTACGTGGGCAAACTTGAAGTATACCTGAACATCTGCCATTCATCCTGGACAGAGCCAATAAACTTCCTGGACGAGCTGGCCATGGCTAGCCCACAGGATGGGGGTGGTAACAAGAGGCAATACTTGACCTGGAGATAAGGGGTCCTTATAACAGTTCTTGCTGGGTGACAAATGCAGAATAGGTCCGGGATAGAGTTGGACAACGCGGTTCCTTGGCGATGCCGGGACTTGGCCGGACCGGTCACCAAATTACTAGAAGTAGTACGTATATCCCTCAGCACTAGTCCAAAAGTACTTTAAATCCTAAAACCTGCGACGTTCGATAATTAAATCCCTCAATGCATCGACAAGCCCGTCTTCTTCCACCAAGGGTGAGGGATTGACGGCCACTGTGAGCCGAGTACCATTCAAAGTATCCTCGCCAGTGGGTATCAAGGTCCTCGTAACATCGATCTTCTTTGCCCTGGTCGTCTTCTGGGGGAACAACGGAGTGAGTTTGCCAACCTTACAAGCTCCACAGACTTGCAGAGCGGGGTCATCATTACGCTAAGGCGTGGAAATTGTGACACAAAGACTTACTGCACTCCTCTGGCTTGATGGACTTGGCGTATCTACCGTACCTGAACCAATACTCGTCACGCATTGGGCCCCATTCAATGAACGTTTCACTTACACTTTGGAGCACAGGTTACATTCTGTCAGACAGCTGTCAGCAGCCACCAGCATTATGACAGAAGGGGAAGTAAACTAACTCCACTGATAAGGGTATACGATCTGGTAGTTGTGACGAGTCTTCGATTGGTAGTGGTCAGTACATCGTCTGGACAGCACGCGTACTCCTCTTACTGAAACCTGAATGTCGGGGTACCTCCTCATGATTTTTCCCGCCCTCCAATAGACCGTGAGCTACTTTTGCACCAATATTTCAGATCTGAGCCATACCATGATTTGAACAGTCGCCCGTGCCCTTCCCGCGGATTGTCACTGATTATCCAACATGCCAAGTGACACATCTCATGGGACAGAGTATTACGAATACGCTCTATCGAGAATGTCTCCATCTTCGACAATCTTCCAACACGTCAACTCACCATTACAGTCCAAAATCTTGGTGGCAAGTTCGATCTTCGTGGTTTGTATACCATCTCGCGATCTGCATACGTATTGGTCTATGATTGCTCGAGTCAGATAATACCCACCGGTGCCAGCGCGCTCGCCCGGCTGTGGTCAGTAGCCGTGTGTTCCATTCTAATTTTGTATTCTTGGGAAGACCATCATCGAAGACGGTGTGGTTAAGCTCTGCGAACAGATCTGCTGCATATTTCTCCCTCCCTAACTGCTCCGCTGCATCTCGTGCTTTCTTTGATGATTTTGTAGGTGACTTTTCAACAGAGGTGGGAGCCGCCCTCTTGGACGGAGGGTACACTGGCACTGGTATGGTATCATTGTTCCTTTTCAACGCTGTGGGAAACTTGCGCTTTGGGGTATCTTTGGCCGGAGAAGTCATTATTTCTGGTCTTCGAGATTCCAGGGAATTCTCACTGAACCTAAATATTCATTTGGATCTGGGGTTGCGGGTTGGATGGAGGGACACGCACCGAGTGAGAATTGCCTCCTTATCAGAGCTATCGTCACTCGTGTCGGCATAGAGTGGCAAATATTTCCGTGCAGTAGGGCTTGTTTTCCTCGGAGATTTCGGAGGACATGGTCGGGTAACCATCGGAGACAGTAGGTCAGGAAGCTCCAGAGACGTGTCGCTGTCTATCAGCTCAATTATATTCCTGAACCCTGAATTATCCGTGTTTCTGTCGAACGTTAGCGGAACGGTTGGGAACGTGTGGACTGGCATAACCGACAAGGCCTTACATGATACCACGCGTATCGCAAAAAACACTATCAGGCAGTGAGAATGAGACGCATGGTGACAAGCTGATGGTTATTCCAAGGAGTTTTGATCACCTACATATCAGAATCTGAGTCTGACGAGATCTCTATAACTTCCATGGGTGGGTTCACTTTACATGCCCTAGGACGCACGTAGATATGGATTAGCTAAAGTCGCGACGATAATGGAAAACTTACCGCAAATCCTCTTCATCACTTGAAAAGCTAGCGTGGCTTGAGTTCCCAGCCATTTGATCTGTGTTTTTGGCTAAAGGAACTGTTTGTGAGATTGACCAGGACGCGTCGCGTTTGGTCCCGTGATTCAAATTCAACCCTGCTGACTTGTGGGGAGTTCAGGAGACTTGGTTAAGTGACATTCATTGCCCGCCTAGCTCAATCGGATAGAGCGTCAGACTTTTACAATCCGTACGAGTCGTACGTGGCGGTGTGATCTGAAGGCTGCGAGTTCGACCCTCGCGGTGGGCTATAGCTTTTTCCCCTTTCTTCCTTTGTAATCATCCAAAATAGACCACAGCTCACCTAGGACGAGGAATTTGGAATCAGTTTGTTGCGCCCAGATCGTCGATCACTAGATAATTCTGGGACTTGTATGATCATGTTGCGCATAGTGTGAACACTTTGGTAACCTTCAAGGTATCTTGCTGAGCACAGATCACCACAGAAATCTACAATATTTTGTAATACACGACAATACGGTTTACTCGAGATACAAAAAGCATGAGGGAACCTCAGCATTCATACACCAACCCTACGTGAACGTCATCGTCAGTAAAAATCCTGTTAGATGAGTGTTCATATTCGGGCTCACCTATGGACGACTTTTTTCTGCGATCCAGCTGGTCAGCAAGTGCGGGAGCGATATCCATATTTCCACGCTTACCTGACTCGAGTATCTGATAATTTCCCGCTTCTCAAGAATGTAAAGAGTGCGTTCTAGTGCATGGCTCGAGTAGCCCTGCTGCGTCACGAACTCACGGACTAAGCTCTGATAGCTCGTGCTCCACCCAACGGGAAGCCGTCTTCGAAGTTCTTTCTCTATTCGAGACATCTCTTCATTGAGTTCACCGCGTGACATGCCATCCACCGAACCAGCTGACACAGCGTCCATGGTCGAAAACTTGAAAAGTCGTATAGCCTCTTCCACGTGGTAGTTTTGTACAACCGTGGAAAGTGTAATTTTGGCCAGAGATTCGGATATACGAATGATAGCTTCCAGTTGGCTGAATGTCTCTTCGTCAATGATGAGATTGGGTATCTTTCACTGGGGACTAACCGCACTGTAATGGGTATAGAACTCCGTTCGTCATTGTCGCGCTCCACTTGCTGTACCTGCTTTCGCAAGCTCACGAAATGGCTGCTCAGCATCTCTTGAGCGTCGGGTGAAATCCTGGGTGCACATTTACTAGGGACAAGTTAGCAAGTAGTTAGAAGAGTTAACATTAGCCCATTCACTTCTTACAGTAGGCAATATACCGCCTCATTTTGTCGATATCAATTTCACCCACAGCCTCGCCATTCTCGTCGGTATTCTGATTTGGTCTATTCATATGGATGTTCATGACGTGTTTAGCAATCATCTAGTTGCGAGGGTCTCAGGGTACTCAACCCATCGAACAGATTGAGAGACATACCCTGTCCCGTTGTTCATTATGTTCATCCTTGACAATGAAGATCATGTCGAACCGTGACAAAATCGTGGTTTGGAAGTCGATGTTCTGAAAGAGAAAGATAGTATCGGCAGAATTTAAACAGTGTACGATTGCTATACCTCGCCAGGACTTCGCCCTTCGTCGTAGCGACCCCATACAGGATTTGCCGCAGCAAGAACACTTGTCCGCGAATTCAGCACAGTAGTAATACCAGCCTTTGCAATCGAGATAGTTTGCTGCTCCATAGCTTCGTGGATTGCAACTCTATCCTCGTCGCGCATCTTGTCAAACTCGTCAATACACACTACTCCGTTGTCGGCAAGCACCATGGCACCGCCTTCTAAGTAAAATTCACGCTGTCGAGGTTCCTCAACTAAGTTGCATTCAATTACCCCACTGAAATGACTTACAGAAATGGCATCGCGTTGGACCGAGGCTGTCAGACCAGCCGCACTTGAGCCCTTACCTGACGTATATACAGCAATCGGTGCGACCTTGTAGCGGTATTAGTCACGAGTTCATGACTTGATCATGAGAAACTCGCCTTCTCGACAAATTTTAGTAATTGACTTTTTGCTGTACCAGGGTCGCCCAACAAAAGAACGTTGATGTCTCCTCTTAGACGCATGCCATCAGGCAAGACCTTTTTAGAGCCTCCAAATAACAAACAAGTGATAGCTTTCTTGATGTCTAGATATGTCCTCAGGTCTCTTCTTTTCGTGCGCGCAAACAAACAACTGACCGAGGCAGCCAAATATACTAGGGGCCACACTCTTCGCAAATCGTTCGTAAAAGTTGTCGCTTCTCGCCATTTCGGCAAATTCTTCCTCCGCCTCCGGGCTAAACTGGGTCCCAAATGGATTCGAGGCGCCCCCAGCCGACGGTGATGACATTTCAATGTGTACAAGGCGAAGATAAGGCTGTCGAAGTGCAGCGGGGCCTGCAGATTTCTGAAGAAGGGTCAACATTAGTCGAGTGAGACGTAAACACCGCAAACTTACGTTGCGTGAGGAATTGAATGTTGAGTAGATTCCTGTGGCAATTATACGCGAACCAGGGACAACCTTCCCAGTGAGGTATCTGTCCGCAGAAAGTAGCATATGGCGAGGTAATTCTCCTACAGGGACCATATCTGGGGCCTCTTGAAGCTTAAGGGTTTGCTGATCTACAAAGGCGGACTTATTGTGGTTTATCATATAAGGGTCCAAAGGGCAATCTTTCTTTTGATTCTCTAGCTCGGGGGCGTCACAGGTTCTAGGAAGGCCGCGATCCGATCCACCCCCCAGCCCACCAAGTCCACCAGGGGGGTATATTATCTTGGTAGATTTACATGCTCGGCACTGAAGGTGAAGTTTGGTGGCTCGGGAAGACAGTACAGAAGCAGATATCACGATGCCAGGCACGCGGACAAGTTTGTTCATAGTATCAGCTGTTAGATCACGGAATCGTTGCATGTTCAACCCGGATTGCATCATGATCTGAATTCTGGGAATGGCCTGTAGTGCAGCTTCCGCTCGGTCATCCGAGCCACTGGCAAGCGGGAATAGTATCGTCCTAGCTGCCTTCGTAGCCGCATTTTCAAACTGACGCGGGGGTGGTCAATTCATCACAAAGCTGAAGAGGGGAACGACTTACCAAAGGCAGGATGTCCGCCGGCCTATCTTGCATGGCATGGGCGAGTTCATCGTTATACAAGCTGAGATGGCGAAGGTCCACCTCAAGTTGATATTGCTTCAACAACAAGTTTGCGCGCAGTTTATCTCTACGGGAGAGTTCAATACGTTTCGGCAATTCATTGCTTGCATGCACTGACCTGTAGACAAATTCTTCTCCAACCCTATACTGTAACAAAAAGTCCAGAAGGAGTTTCTCCAGTTGCGACGGCGTTTCTGTAGAGGGAGCGCTGGACCGGTCGCGCACGGACACTGAGAAGACATGGTTTGCGTCGAAACCAGACATGGATGAGTGAGGGAGTCGTTGCGCGCGGGACGCGACAGCCAAATGAATATAGGGCAGGCTCTTTCGCGCTCAACGGTGGAAAATGAAACGTATTGGCTATCGCAGTGTCCACTAGTGTCTCCCGTTTAGCTCAGTTGGTAGAGCGCGTCACTAGTAATGACGAGGTCAGTCGTTCGAGTCGGCTAATGGGAATTTTCTTTTTCCACCAATGGTGCCCCTTTGGTAGCCACCCACTGAACTACATAAATAACTTGTGCAGATCTGTCCTACCACAGCATGGCATCCATGGACACCGACGAACAATCAGTTGTGCTATCTTCTAGCGCAACTTCAGGCCTTTCACTCTCGCTGTATGGCCTTTTTGCTACCCCGGAAATTGATTCGATTTGACAGCAACACTAGACATCCCTTACCCATCTTAAATATATCAGAGCACTTGACGCGATTGAAGTTGCAAACGAAATCGACTGCACCTTTTGGTCAGTGAACCCTCTCGCGGCTCCAACCGTTGCCTACCTTACGTAGGATTGCTATAGTTTTGGGCGCGTTGCTCGGTACGCAAAATGGCCGAGAAGTGGAGATTGTCAACAGCTTCGAGCTCGCCACTGAGGCTGGGCATGATGACATCGTAGATCACGGTTTCCTAGTCCAAAGGAGAGACCAATGTAAGTTGCGTGCTTGTTGCTGGGTGAGTTCCATCGCCAACGCATTGTAGACAAGCAGGTTTTCCCCTCTCTGGAGTTCATCGGATGGTACACTGTCGCATCTACAGTCACTTCACAACACATCGCGCTCCACGAACAGGTATATCCACCATGACATCCAGTTGAGCAATTAACACTTGTTTCGCAGTTTACCGGATACTGCTCAACGCCACTTCTCCTTGTTCTTCAATGCTCTACGAGCTCATCATCCGCGGCAGACGTTACAAGTCAAGCCCTTCCCTTTAAGGCGTATGAACCCTCGGTTGAAATCAGGGAGAGGAAGACACGGTCTGTATTCATCGAAGTACCGTTCATGGTAGAAACTGGCGAGGCCGAACGTATCGCTGTGGATTGGACCGCCAGGGGTGGTGGTGGAGGCACCAGTTGTAAGTATTTAACACGGTATAACTAATGTCCACCTCATATTTGCAGTGGAATCGCATTTACATACACAACAAGCCGCTGTGAAGATGCTGCATGAAAGAATCTTGGTGTTGGTGCAATATGTAGCAAATGCCATAGCAGGTACGCACTCCAGTAATGCCTTTGTCTGCAGCAAATCATGAGGCTTACTTCATTGCTGTAGGTCAAGTTCCGAAAGACCATACCGTTCTCCGATCAATCTCTGCCTTGATTGCTTCCCTCCCTGCCAGCGAGGACGACGCTTTCCGCGAGGAGTTCAATACTGTGAGTGCAGTCTTTTCTCGAATTAATATAGTGCTACCTGCACGCTACCCTGCCTGTGTACCAAGCGATGTATTATTATCTGACCTTTGGCGAAATCCTATACAGGAATACGAGGATGTCAAGCTCACGGCTTTCCTCTCCGTACTCACTAAATCCACGAACACTTTAAATAATGTGAGTTGCCCAGATCACTACTAAAATCACACTGACCTTGCGGGTGTACAGCTCGTGGACAAACACCTGATAATGAATGGTGGCATGCGTGATGAACGGCCGCTAATACCTGGCCCACGAAGGCGAGCGGGAAGGCCAGGCGGTATGCCTGGAGACTGGTCCGCGCATGCCTGAGTCTCATGATCATGTGGAGTCTGTCAACAAGAGCCTCCCAACACCCGTAGAGTCGATGAGCCATTAGTCAAGTACGACATATACCGGTGGCATGAATAATACAGTTCTCTGGTTGATT